CATGCTGCAGCACCCCTGGCCTCGTGTCAGGGGCAAGGGGCAGAGCCAGAGAAGAAGTTGCAGGCACTGTCCCCAGCTCGTCCAATCAGGCGCAGCTGGGGCAGCCCTGTGCCACGCAGCCCTCGGGGCAGTGGCGGCGGGACCCAGCTCATGTGATGAGCCCAGCCCTGCGGGGGTAAGCCGCTCCTCTCCCCTCGCTGCCGGCTGGGGCCTGTGGGCCAGCCCTGCCCGCCTCGCCTCGCCTTGCTGCTGCCCCGCCACTGTCGCCATGGAGTGCGGAGCAGGCACCAGGACTCCTTGTCTGTCCTGAGCGAGGGACCTTGGGCCAAAGAAAATGGCTTGGCAGGCTGCATGGTGGCCTGCGGGCCATATGTTGGACAAGCCTGTCCTAGTACAAGCAAAGAATTGTGATGTAACTGGGATTACGGAGACATGGTGGAATACTCCACGTGACTAGAGTACAGTCACAGTTGGGTATAGCTTGTTCAGGAAGTATAGGCAGGGAAAAAAAGGAGGTGCTGCCCTAAACATAGTACATGTGTTATGCGGTGCAATATGAAGTGGCAGGTAGGCCTGTTGAAAGCTTCTGGATAAAGGTCACAGGAGAAGTCATGGTGGGCACCTGCTACAGGCCTCCAAACCAGGAGAAGGAGGTGGATGAAACCTTCTTTAAACAACTGGCAGAAGCTTCCAAATTGCAGGACCTGATTCTCATGAGTGTAGTGATAAGAGTTAGACTTTGGAGACGGTCCCTTAGAAGGGAATGTCTTACCACATGAGGAATTTGAACAGGATCCCTGGAGAGTAAGAAGAAATCAAGATGGGGGCAGCCACATGGTTTGTGCTAGAGGGACCCTGTGTGGTGGTACCATTAAAGGTCTGTTCTTTTCCTCATTCATAGTTGTCATTATTCACTGTAGGACCTAAATCATTACAGCAAGGGACTAATGATTGGGACATCTGCTGGGAGGGAGCTATGGTAGTACACAGACAGTCCAGTACATTCTTGGAGTGTGTTTGGGATAACTTTTTGTTACAGATGGTAGAGGTCAGCTTGAGGGAAGCTCTTTTGATTTGCTGCTCTCAGACAGGGAAGAATGGGTTGAGAACATGAAGGTGGAAAGTAAGGACCCATGATCCTATCTCCACCCTAGATAGGACCATGGGTGCACTTGACAGTGACCACAAAATGAGAGTGAAAGACCTTAAGGGGAGGAAGGAAGGAGAGCAGCAGATTAAGGGCATTGGATTTCAGAAAAGCAGACTCTAACCAAGTCAGAAAACTGATGGGCAGGATCCCCTGGGAGACGAGTCTGAGGGGAAAAGGAGTCCAGGAGAGCTGGCTGTACTTTTAGGAGACTCTTTTTGTGGTGCAGGAGCAAGCTATCCTGATGTGATGGTAAAATGGGAAGTGCAACAGCAAGTCAGCCTGGCTAGACAGCAATCTCTTCCATGAGCTGCAACTCAAAGAGGAATCCTATAAATAGTGGAAACTTGGTCATAGTATGAGGGAAGAGTATGACAGCATTGTACAGGCCTACAGGGGGGAAATTAGGAAGGCCAAGGCATGATTTGAGATGCAGTTGGCAAGGGCCATAAAGGGCAATAAAAAGGGATTCCACAAGTCTCTCAGAAGTAAGAGGAAGACCAGGGAAACCATAGGTCCCTTATGGAATGCAGATGGTAATTTATAGGCAGGCAAGGCTCTTTAAGTAGATGTGATATCTTTTATTAGACCAACTAAATAGTTGGAAAAAATGTTCTTTGCAAGCTTTCGGGCACAAACACCCTTCTTCAGGCCTAGGGAGGCTCTGCTGCTGTTATGCGTTCTCCAAGGTAGAAAAGCTCAAGTAAACAAGAAATCTGTGAAGATGCAAAGGAGTGGAAGTTTGGAAGACAAAGGGTAGAGATAGGGGGAGAGGGGGAGAAGGAATGCAAGAGGTCAGCTGCAGACCCGTTACTTGGTGTGTCAAATATCAGGCAGGCTGTAATGTGTCATAAATCCAATGTCTATACTAAGTCCATGATTTTTTTGTATCCAGTATATTTATGAAGTGATGTTTGTAGGCCCGTCTACAAAAGATGTTTTGTAAGCTCCCTTTGAGGATTAGAACTGAGAGATCGAAGAAGGAGTGATTGTCTTGTGAGAAGGTAATCTATCATATTTACCTGAATCTCGGATGACTTTGAATTTAAGATAACTCCCAGTTATTAGATTCTGTAGGAGGAAAATGTATACATTCATTATAATTTTCCAAGTATAATATCTAATTATCAGAGGGTCATCTTAAATTCACCTCCCACCCACTGCTATTGTGAAGAAAGCATCAGCAGGAGGGCAAGTAACTGGGTGGCCAGATGCCCCCCCCCACACTTTTCCTCTGCTTCAGCCTCCCCTCTCCCAGTGGTGCCTGCACAGTCTGCTGCCTGTGCCCCCTGCCTACTTTCTACAGCTTCTATCTCCCCCACCACCAACCTTCCTGCAGCCCAGCCTCTGCTCCCTACCTCCCCCACTTATTGTCAGGTGTGGCTCCAGCCCCGGCTCTGCCTCCATTCTCTCCTGGGCACAGAAGCAATGCAAGCTCTGTCTCCTGCCTGGCCATGCAACAACATCAGAAGCTTGCATGTGCTCTGTGCTTGGAAGGGATAGAACCAGTGCTAGAGCTGTGCTTGACAGTAACCAGCAGGGGGAAGGGGCAGAATCTGTACAGGGGCAGGCAGGAGAGGGGACAAGTAGCAGCTATAGCTCTGATTCTGGCCCCAACCCAGGCTCAGGCCAGAATCTGAGCTGCAACAGCAGTCTATCCTCCCAGAACCTTGAACTTGAATCCAAGATGAGGGGCTTTTTCCTCATGTTGAGTGAAAGAAAAAACCTTGTCTTGGTTTTGAGTAAATACAGTAGTTACAGAAGATGCAGAGTTGGCAGAAGTATTTAATGCCTTTTTTTACTTCCATTTTCACAAATAGGGGCTTCTACCAAATGAGGACTGCAGTTGGCAGCAAACATAGGGAAGGAGACAAATAGGCAAGGCCGGATGGGATGTACCATAGGATACTGAAGGAATTGGCTGCAGTAATTTTAGTCATTAGCTATCCTCTTTGAGAACTAGTGCCCATCCCTTCTTTTCTCCTTCTCTGCTTCCGTGGAGTCCTGGGCAACTGGGATTAGGGATTGATGAAAATGGTTGCAGCCCCCTTTCCTTTATGTCCTCAGCTATAGGGGTGCTGGAAGGCGTACAGGGTACAGGTGCCTGAAAGGCTGCACAAGAAGTGTAATACATATGGGCCAAATGACTCTTCGAGCCACTGTTCTGTAGGGGATGTGATTGTTCTCTCAGTTTCACTTGCTCACACAGTAAGCCACAGCTTCTTCTTTGATTCTCCCTCGGTTCCTAGCTCACTTTGTTCCTGGCCAGTTTTTCAAACCCTCCGGAAAAGTCAGCTGGCCCATAGCCAGCCAAAGAAACTGCTCCAGAAGTAACCCCATTTCCCAGTTGCTCAGATAGAAGCAGACAGGCAAAACAATTGTATTGGTTCAGGGGAACTTGTGGTAAACTAGTAACATTTGAAAATACAAGATTTGAAAGTACTAGAATTCCTTTGTCTGCTACCTGCTGTGTGTTGCATCTTCCATGGGGCCCTTTTGCATGGGTAAACTCTGACTTGCACCATATCAGGAACTGAACACACGCAGCTTCTGAGTGTGCACAAACTTCCAAGTGTGGTGGCGGGTGATGGTGGGGGTTTTGGTTTAGTTGACTGTCTTTTAAGAATTACTTTGCAAGTTTTATCACGGAGTCTTCTGATGTCAATGTAAGGCTCCTACCTGCAGCCTGTGTAACTAGGTCAGCTGCACTTAATGCATTCAGCATGGCCAGCTGAGTCCAGTCCCCTCCCTCTGATTGGTTCTGGTGCTGTTTTTAAGGAAATCCTCTGGCACCTGAGCCATACTGCACAGCACTCTGGTGGTCTCCAGTCCTTGAGTGGCTCCTGTCTTAGTAACTCCTCAGGTTTCCTGGCTCTTGACTCTGGTTACCCCCCTGGCTTGGCGTTTGAATTTTGGCTTAACCTTGACTTGCTTCCTGACCCCGATTCTGGTTAGTTCTCTGGCTTGGTTTCGGACTCTTGGCTTTGGATCCCGCCCCTTGCTTTGCAACGCAGGGTTGTCCTCGGCTGCCTCTAGCCTGCGGTTCATCCCTGCAACCTTGCCAGTTCTCATTGCTGACTCCTCCTGCTAGGCTTGGTGCTCTTGTGAACCCTGACAGTTAATGTTTGCGCACATCAGCAAAGAAATTGTGTAAACTACTTCAAATAGCAAGTGTGAAGCTGGTCATGTGAACTGTGCCTTGCTTTTCTCCTCTCAGCAAGTGTTTTTTCTTCTTTAAATTAGATACTGTTTATAGTAACCAACAAGGCACTCGCATGTATTTAAATCTTGCAGAGTGTGGTACGTCCTGTATAATTTTGTGTCAAAGGGTCTTACTAGGCTGGGGAAAATACTCAAGAGGTGGAGAATATTTCATTTTCTTGGTCAGGATAAATAGACTTGCTCTACACGTCACTCCTGTCCACAGCACCCTGGGCTGTTTCTGTCTCACAGGAGGATAATTTCTAAAATGATGGGAGAGATGCATGGTGTAACTCGTATGTTTAGGGGACAGAAAAAGATGGCTAGACAAGCTGCATTTTAAAAATAGGAATGTGTTTTGTCTTAGGAACAAATGGATGTTGCCCAAGGAAGGTGGCCATCATAAACTGGAAATAAAATGGAAGGAAAAATCACTTTTCCTGCTAGTCACTACCATCATTCTAGTATATAAGCCAGCTCTTGTTTTATTTTTTGGAACACTACTTCCTTTCCAACTGATCAGTAGAGGTTGTAGGTGCCTGACACGACCCCTTCTGCTAGAATTCTCAAAGGTGCACTTTGTTCTGTCTTTGCATCCTTGGATATGACAACATGGAAGGATTACAGTTGGAGTGAAAGAAGATTGACTATCTCAGATCAACATTTTTTCCTTTATTAATGGGTATGTGAAACATGGATGTATTTGTTTCTATTTCACGAATATTATATGCAAGCACAAAGGCAAGGTCAAACTTTAACATCCTAAGGTGTATCCCACTGTTTCCATTAGCATTGATGTCATTGGTTTGCCTTATTCTCCTTGATATATAAAATATGCCAGATGAAATCTCATCAGAGGAAAGAAATAAGGTATTTTTCTACTTCTGACATTAAACATTTGTATCATATTACAGTCCAGCAAAAATGCAGGCACAAACCTTAAAAATATAAGGATTCATTGTCTATAAGCATTGAAAGCCTGTGAAATCTTTGGCTATTTAGGTTTTTTGTTTTACGTTTCAGTCTTTAGTGGGAAATGTGTTTTTCCTTGTAGATTAAGCATAGTGACAAAATCACATATAAACCAGAAGCAATGAATTCCAATGAAGAAGCAATGATTTGTGAACTAAGGTCCTACATAACATTAAATCCCTTCTCAAAGTGGCTGTCCCAACAGCAGCAAAGATGAAGTACTGAATTCAGGCATGTCACAATTTTCTGCTTTCCACGTAGGTTCTGTTTCCATGAGCAGTAGGTAAGAAGGTAGACAAGAATCTTTCCCTTTCAAGAAACAGGATTCATGACTATTTCAGACCTGTACCCATTCAGAAGAATGGAGCTAGCAGAAGGAGCCAGGGAGATGTCCACAATTAGAACAAGTCCCACACCTATTATTTGATGTCAGTGCCTCACCCGCTTAAACAATGCAATTTGAATCTTTACATTTTGGATGATTTATTTCTTCCTTGTGTGTGTGTGGTCAGGGGGAGAAGAGGCAGAGGGGAAGAAGGAGAGGGTGTGTGTTGAAGAACACTGAAAAAATGTTGGGTTAAATTTAGACCAATTGCAATTACTGCAAATTGCATGCGTTAGGAGTGAATTTATCCCACAACTCTTCAATGATGGTGTAGGTAAAGGTTCTACAATGTCTTACCAGATGCAACCAAATGATTTGCTGAATCTCTTGGAAAATTAGTCTCTCAGAAAGGGACATCTCATTCTTTAAAATGCAGCAAGTCTTCACACACACATACTTAAAAGCCTTTTCTAACTAGTATTAGTTTGGAAAATGAAAATAATGAGACCTTGGTTTTTCCCACTGCATTGCTTTTGTTCAGCAGTCAGTGAAGTTTCTTCATGAATGGCTATCTTGCCCAGTGCGTGCCAGAGATAACTTATTCACTGGCTTCAAAGTCATACCACACTGCCAGCACCCTGAGAGGTAATATTCTCCCTCATATAACACTTGCCTTTTCCCCTTCAACAGTGCTCTTGCTCCATACATGCCCTAGAAATTTGTTCACAGCACTGGGTTTCAGCGGCAGTATTCCTGCTCGATACTCGCCATGAGCTCTTCTTCAGAGTAATCATACGATATTGTGGACTGCCCCTCAGGCTTCTTGTTGTGCTGGACTGGACATCTGCAGGTTAAGGGAACAATATCTAGTTACTGTAAAAGGAAATCCAAGCTCTGAGACAGACTATAGTCACTTAGATCTGTGAAAGACTGGGAGCAAAAAATCTGGGTGTCCAGACTTGTGTTCAAGAGTGTCTGGAATCTCCTGCTCCCTCCCCAACAGGTCCTGTTCCCTTAAAGAAGCTGCTCCAGTGTTTAACAGTAGAATCATTGCTTCAATACCTGGGGATAACAATTATTTCTCTAAATACCATTTGTAGAATTACCCAAGTGATTTACCACACAATTCCTCTGCCTGGGCCTGTAATACTAGGATAGCCTTGTGTGCTCCAAGGGGCCAGGTGCAGCCCAGTAGGGTTCTCCCCCATCTCTTCTGAGTTGTGGACTCAGTCACTCCAGTGCAGCACAGGAATGGGAAATAAGGTAAGGGACAAGAAAAGACCCATCCCTGCAGCTGGAGATGGGTGTCTTCCAAGAAAGCCTGCCAGAGGCATGGGGCTTCCTATAGGACCTTCCAACAGGGAGGAGAAATGGGGGGAAGGAGACTGCAGGAGTCTGCCAGATGAACTGGGGGCCTGTTGGAGTCTCTCTGGGGAGTAGGGACCTGCAACGGAATAAAAGGTGTATTCTGTTTTTTTAATTTAATTTAAATCTAATCTGATTTTTCAGATCACCTCAATTTGGTAAGCAATATTGAATTCATCAACAACATTCTTATCTGAGAACATACTTGTGTTTTCGCTGGGTTGGTATGTAATTGGTTTTCAATGTAGTATGAGGTTAGGCCAATTAGTGCCTCGCTTAGGGATTTTTCAGCATGGTCAAAGCCAGTGTTTTGGGCTGTTATGCACAGATTATCTGCATAGACGAAACATGTTGTTTCCAGATTGGTCAGTTGGTCATTCATATAGATGCTATATAACAGCAGTACAAGTATGCTTTCTTGGGGGAGGTCATTAATCTGTTTCCTCCATCTGCTTCATTCAGTGTAATGTGGGTTTTGGTGAGGCTAGTTTTTGTGACTCCAATGGTGGGGAAAAAACAAAAGGAAAGAGCCAATTTCTTCACATTTTTATGTACGTGGTTCCTGAGTAGGGAAGAGATATCAAATGGCATGATGCCAGCTGCATTCCAGGACTCATGAACTAGTGTCAATAGACCTACCTGAAGTCCTGTGTGGATAAAATTGAATAGTGTACCAATTGCATCTGCCAACTAAAATCATATGGGAAGCTTGCATGCTGAGTAGTCAGAACCAAGTAGGATGCACTGATGAGAATCATAAGTGAAGGAACCTAAGAACTCTTCTCTAACACTAGACTCTATTCAGTTTTCAAAATAAGCAGTACTGAACACATGCATGGTATCCCTGAGAGGCATGTACACTTGTTGAGCACTGTTCTTTCATGATTACCTAGGAGCAGTTTTCAGCATGGAGGGGTAGTGTACACTCTTCTGTAGCATGCAGAGTTATCCTCGTCCTAGGATTCTCTGTGCATAGATTAATCATTTACTTCTTTACCACCAAAGTGGCAGGGCACTGGCAATGTCTTTGTCTCCCCCGCTTCTACTTGTGGCCTGCTGTAGGGCATTCTTGGTGTTTCTGGTTTTGTGTCTTATGGTCCATAAAGAGTGGATATTTTTTTAGGGATCTCTGGTAAATATTTGCTTGTGAATACAGGGAATTGGACTCAGTGGCCTGGGAGGTCCGTTCAAATCCTGTGCTTCCTGTGCAGACCAGCTGGTGATCAGCTGGCATGACAAGTCTTGTGAGTTTCTGAAAAGAAAGGCAATTTACTTATATGGCATATTTGCAGAGCCATAGATGGTTGCAAGCTGTATTTAGCAAGCAGAGTCTTCGGCTGATTTCTCCATTCAATTTCCTTCTTTTGACAGAGTGGAAATAATTGGATTTTCATGCAGTAATTAGTCTGGAAAAATGCTTGAAATCAATGCCCAGAAGATGGAAACATGTAGCAACCAAAAGGTACAAATACTTTGCAACAGTTGGGAAAAGGAAATGTAGAAATCCAATTTAGGCCTACAACTGGCATATGATTTATTAATTACATCCTCCCATGTGACAGGCCCTCCACTAGGTTTTTATTAATGTTGAATGATGTATCAGGAATAGAGCCCCTGGCAAGATTTCTAAAACTCCATTTGAAGACTCACAAAAGGTTCACTGTTTCTCTCACTCTTTACATAGTATTTTTTCCCCTAATTATTCCTGGTGTCTTGGCCTTCACCAGTGACTTAAGGATGACAGAAAATCTCTTTTAGTATAAACCAAACTTAATGAAAAACCAAACTTACTGTCAACTTAAAAAATTCACATGCTCGCATCCAATGAACAAGCAGGACTGAACTGAAAACTAATGAAGGGGGGGATGATTGCCTGGAAAAGACAAGAAGCTGCTTAGTCTTTACTGTGTTTACCTCCCTCAGTGTGAAAAGTTCTGTAGAATTCAATAGGGATGAAACCTATAGGGTACTAGAGAAGCGTAATATGGTCCTGCGGATATTATTTGAAAACCTAAATAGCTGAATTATCTGGTCTACTTAGAGTTGCCTAAAATAGCCAGTGATAGCTAACAGAGGGTTTTTCTTATGTAAGGGAACTCTTTGCTAGAAGAGAGCACTGACAACCAGTCTGCATCAGCCACATGGGTAAGTGAGAGAAAAGACACATCAGAGATGTTCTAGGTGCTGGACGTGGTGTGTAGAGGGCATGGTGGAATAGAACTACACTGTGCCCAATACTGAAATGATGGCAGATGTTAGAGCAGGCCCCCAGGTGCTCCCACCAGGGTCAGGTGTGAAAATGAGGGAACTGCAGCTGCTTTCAGGCAGTTTTGTGTCCTGTCTATTCAATCTAATTGAGAACTATTACATATTCTGTGCTGGAAAAGACTAGATTAACACATCTGGAGGAAAATAATTCAAAACACAGCTGCTCAATGGGAGGGAGAAACCTGAAGAGCAGTAATGCTGAGGGGGGAAAAGCACATAAAGAAGAGTTTGCAGTGTAGCAGGTTTTTAAAAAAATACAAGGGCTGGGAGGGGGCACCAATGCAGCTCCATCAGGCATAGATGCCTTCTTACCAAAACATATTGACAGTTTGGAGGGAATGTAGAGAACAGAAACAAAAACCATCCGTGAGCTGAGCAGAATGACTTCAGAAAAAAGAAAGAAGCAGACATATTTAACTGGCTAATGTCAGCTGTAGGAGGGGAACAGGAAAAGAGTCTACATGCTGCTGCAGCAGGTTCAAAGATACTAGGGTAGGTGAAAATATAATTTACTTTCTTTCAGCTTAAGGCTTCCTAAAACTGGTAGAGCAGAGACAGTAGTCTAGTACATGTAAGGCCCTGATTTTTCCATGACAGACATGCAGCTGTTACATATTTCACCCATCTCTCCATATCACCCAAAGATTCTCTAGATTTTCCTTTAGGAGAATTTTCCATAATAAGCCATTTTATGTATTGAAACTTCAGTGATCTTTTTTGCAATTAAAAATGGGAGAGAGAAGCACATTTCTGCCAGAGGCTTAAGATGGTATGAATTAGCTAGAGCCTGTAGCTTCTAAGTTCCACTTGGGAATATTTAGACTGAATCTTTGCTAGGACAGGTCTCTTAAAGGCTTAGCAACCATTCCAAGACAAAGCAGATGACAAAGGACAAAGTAAAGCATTGGGATGGTAAGGCACAGGGAAGCAAGGGTGCTGGAAGATCTCAGAAATTATTTGCATTGAGGACTCCTGCATGAGCTTTCTGCCTTGTCCCTGATCTCTGGAGATGGAAGCGGAAGAGAACATGGCTCCCTGAACACTTCAGAGAAGAAGACTCTGATCCATTTCAATTCCCTGCTGACTCAAAAGAAAGAGCTACTGAGCCCAAGGGCAGGAAAAAGTGTTTCGCTAGCATGTGAGCTCCTCTTGTCACATCCATCAGTAGTGTTGGTTCAGAGTAGCTGACACAGTCTGACAGCCTGGGTTTTCAGTTCACAAGGATTCTAGATCAGTCTAGAGAGATGAGGCTGCTTAAAAAATGGAGACTTAAAATAAAAACCCATACTGTTTGGGGAGAGAGAGAGGGCAATATATTGAGGCCGTTCAGTTTCATCAGGGTCCCATTAAAACACACATTTGACTTATTTCCAGGGCTCTTCCCTGAAGGCTATGGTAATGGAGCAGACTGCATTTTTGCTAACAGAAATACTATTTCATTCTTCCTTTCCTTTCTTGCTCTACAGACAAGTTTATTCCAGCCAGCCTTCTTTGTACTTCCCAGCTGCTTGGGCCAAAACACTGAGTATCTTCTCTGTAACTGTGCAACTGAGGGAATAAATATGGAGATGAAAGAAGTAACCCTGCTGGAAGTGTGATGAGGAGGTGGCTCAGCTCACCTGAGTGCCACTGAAAATCCTTTGCACATCCTTGTCTTCCTGCAAGTATTGTTGCTGCAGTCTGCACCCAGCTAACAGTGCTGATGTGAGCAAATGTTTGCTTTGGCCACCAGATGGACCAGAGCAGCCTGTGCATACAGCACTCCTACACCTGCACTGTGGGTATCTATCCTCTCTTCCATATGCCATGTCTACACGAGACACTAACTGCGCAGTAGCTCGTTACTACTGTGCAGCAGTGTCATGTGGCAGGAAGCATGACACGACACTACTGCATAGTCAGCATCACCTAAAAGTTGTTCAGCGATGCTACTGTGCAGTAAGTCCAGTTACTACACAGTCATTTAGTACTTGTTCAGTCAATTAGAAGTACTTGTATAAACAAGTACTGCCCTGCCACTTGTTTATACAAGTACTAAATGACTGCAGTAATGATTGTGCAGTCAGCATCTCATGTAGACGCAGCCATAATGGAGTAAAGAATGAAGAAAGGGCCTACTCTATCCTGAGACATGCAACATACAGGCTATGAAGCTGATTAGTGGAATAGTAACAAAAAATGTCACCTGTGAAAGGGCAGTGTGCTGTCTGAAAAACATAATACTCATGTACTACTTACTCATTGGTGAAGTTGCTTTTCTCTCGGTCTGGTGTGCTTCTTGCTAGGGCCTTGAAAAGAACAAATGTCACAGGGTTAGTCTATGCAAAATAAAACATCAGCAAATCCATAGTTACCTTTGTACATAAATGACTATGTTTATATGCCAAACACCCCAAGCAACTTCAGGGAAGGCAGGATAGGTGCAAGAAATAGGGCTGTTGTCTTTATTAATAAAAGTCTCACTAGCTTACCTTCAGCATCTGAGGAAGCTGGTCTAAGGATTCCCTTTGATCTGAGGCTCTCAAAATGATTAAACATTAAGCCTCCTAATTCTCCTGCGAGGCAGGTGGAAGCTGTCAGACCCATCTCAGAAATGAGCAAACTGACACAGCAATGTGATGTGACTAAAGAGATGCCAGCAAAAAGCTGCTCTGATATTTCTCAGTTGACTGGTCGTAAGTTTCCCAGATGGGAAACACTTTTCAGGACAGGTAAGTCGTGCCTCTTTCCAGCAAATGGCATTCAGTGTCACCCATGGTATTCCTGAGCCCCCTGCTGGTGCCTGCTGTTTTGGTGAAATGGTACTTAATTTGTGACACTTGGAAATCTTGGTGCTGTGCCAAAATCCAATTCATTTGCACAGATGTTTGTGAAAAACTGTTCAGGACACTGCAGAGGGAAGCTCCCATTTATGGGTTTTTTCCTTATTATTTCCCATCATAAAAAGCTGTTCAGGAGGCTGTGGAGGGAAGTTCCCATTTACTTTTTTTTCTAATTATTTCCCATTACTAATTAGCATTTCTTTTGGGCATGTTATTGCTCAATGAGAAAGAGAGAGAGAGAGGCAATAGCAGGCAGTGAATGACTGACACAGGAAAACACCTTCTACAATGCAGCCACAATACAGGTCACTTTATTCCTGTGCTTTTTTAAATTAAAATGTTTTTCTTGGTGTCAGTGGACACAGAAAAGTTCTATTAGACAGCATGCTGGTTGTACAATGGCAGTTGGATAAAGGCTGCTTTGAATGAATGTTTTAATTAAAAAAAGAAGAAGAAAAGAAAATTGTCCCTGGGAGCAAAGGAGAATTTCCCATTCCCAGTTCACCTACTCTATAATTAGAGAGGGGCCTGAGCCCCATTCTCCTTAAGCAATACCTGCAAACAGGAAGAATGAGGGAGACAATCTATGTAGAGTTCCTGACTGTTCCCCAAGGGACAGAGTTTGTTCCCCTGTGGACCAGGTGGTAGCACCAGCCCCCCAGTCCTGGAGATCGCCTGGTATCTATTGGGACTGTAGGAGCCATCCCAGCAGAGCCCACTTTTGTTGAACTGGCTGTGTTCCCAGTGACTTGTTCCTTTGGGGGAGTGGGAGTGGAAAATGCTGTTACTTAAAGTACCTCACCCTTCACTCTTCCACATGGGAGGGTCCTTGTGGCTCTTGAGAACAAGTTCAAGACTAGTGCTTTTTTTTTTCTCTTTCTCTTTCTGACCCCCTGCTTCTGCCTTTGGCTCTTGCAGGGGGGCTGCAGCTTCTGTGAACACTGCACCCGGCCAAGCCAATTTTAATGTTTTTGCTTTTGTTTTTCTTGTAAGTGGTCGCCCTGTATCTTCTAGGACTGACTCCTGTGCGGACCCTGAGTCATGGGAAGAGGCGCACTGATGGATAACAGATTTGCATTAGGTAACCATACTTGGATTTAGTTTTCTTCATGCAGAAAGGAAAATGTCAAGTAGTTTTACCATGAAAGAGAAGAGAGAGAAGGAAGGGCAGTGGGAGTGAGGGGAAGACAGCAAAATAAAAAAGAGAACAGTATATAATAAAAGCTTCCCAGCCAGGCTTTCATCCTGCAATTCAGCTGTGCTTGGCTTTTTGTAGGGCTGGTTAGCTCAGCAGACTAGTCAATGGGCCTCACACTTCACTCACTTTCATAATCACAGAAAAGGTAGGAGTTGCTTTCCATGCAGATGTCATATGATTTACCTGAGTTGACAACAGCCAGCTTAAATGAATGCAACTCCCTGGTGTGAACATGCTTGTGTTAATGGAGCTGTGTATGTAGGTGCATCTGCATCTACACTAGGTGGTTAAACCAATGTCACTACATTGGGCATTATACTGATTTAGGAGACATCTACACTGCATTTACTGCTGTGACTGCAGCTTGAGTAGAACTTCATACTAGCCAGCTTGGGGATTGCAAACCATACAGCTGTTAACTTGGGGTCAGCTTGGCTCCCCTTCCTTTCCCTA